AATATGTATCAACTGTTTCACAATTCAAGTCTACTTTTAAAGCACTACAAAACTAAGCTTAGCACTTACAGACCGCCATAGTGTGATGCTCATATCAATGCTCAAATATCAATCTTCCATTTTTCAAAATTTTGGCATTTTATTTTATAGACAAGGTCTTCAAGTGTTTTGTTTGTTATCAACTTATGTTTGAATGTACCTAATTCASCTAAATTATAAAATTGAAACATATCAAGACTGGAGTGAAAACATATTTTATCGCGAGAGAATAAAGATTTAGAAATCAAAAATGCTTGTTTAATTATAGAATCATCAGGTAAGGTGATCAAATTATCGTAAAATTTCAAAATTAAAGTATCAATAAAATTTATTAGCGGAAATCTGCCGAGTTCTGATCTACTAGCAATATTTGACGCTTTTCTATTGACACCAAGATATTATTTACAATAACGTAAGTGCACTTTTTCTATTTGACATTTATCCCAGTTTTCAAAACTTTGTTYCTGATAGGCCCCMCAGACTTCGCATCTATACGTTAAAMTGGGAGCTATCATTGAATCGAATAATGTTTTCACTTGTTTAAAAACAACAAGCTGAGTTAACTTGAATAAAGCATTTAGTTCTTTTTCTCTTGTTTRATTCAAATGCGCATTAAAGTTACCGGTTGAACTTAATTTCACTCCTAAATATGTAATTCGCTTACGACTTCAAGATTATTATCATTTAAAGTAAAAGAGGGCTGATTACCTTTTTTACACGTTTTCTTAGTAAAAATCATGATTTTCGACTTTTTTTCATTTACTTTCATTTGCCACTTAGTACCAAATTCCGAAACAGTGTTGATGCAATTTTGTAGACCTTCTTTCGATTTTGATAATAAAACTAAATCTTCTGCGTATAAGAGAGAAGTTAGTTTGGTACGATTAGGTAGAATTATAGGATCTGATCTTGCAGTTTTATTAAATTGAATAGATAATTCATTCAAATAAAGATTAAATAACAAAGGAGTAACATCCTTTAGACAGAGAGAGCTACGTTGTTTGCGTATTTGCTACGGTAGCAAGTACGCACAGTGTGTATTTGCGACGTTTTGTGCGTATTTGCTACGCTACTATAAGAAAAACGCAATATTTTGTGATTAAAAAGTTTTTTGCCACCGCCGATTAAATGACATGCAATGGACTTTAGTTGTCGATTTCTAGCCTCTAATATGACATTGGAAGAGTTGCATTTCAGCAACCACTATAAGGAAGTCTTTAGCAACTGGCGTCTATATCYACATGCCTCAAGATAAGGAAAGTCTTGCTACACTGGCACAACATAAAACAGAAACTCAAAAAAATTATCACTGTGTGTATGACAAGGTCACAGACGCTGATCTTGGAGGTCGAGCTGTGAAAAAGTTTGTATCAATGGAAACTAGTGATATCCACGATGCCAACGTCAAAGTTTCCTACGTAGAATGGACGACTGAGGAAGAAAGCTGCTTGGAAAATATCTTTTCTTCAGAGACCAAGGCTGGAGGAATCACGCACGAAGTAGCTCGGGATAAAGTTTGGTGCGTCAAATATACTAGAGAATCATACGCTCAAGGCAGTTGTGCAAAAGGTAAAGAGGATGAGGACAAAGTACTTGGAGACGGTGATCCTTCCAGAAGATGAAGAAAATGSGCACGACAAAGTTCTAARATATCTGAGGTCAGCTCTTTCTGAATCTGTACCGACAAAACAATCAGAAACAAGAATATGGAGTAAGTTCAGTGAAGAGCAAACCGAGTATTTAGTCCGACTCAATAACGGCATGGTGGAGAGCGGCACAGTCAAGAGGGACATTCTTTGGCAAAGACTAAAGAAYGATAAAACCGCACTTCAACTTGGTCTCATAGTTGAAGGCGAATCAGATGAAGAGAGTGTAATGAAACAAAAACAGCGTCTTGCTGATAAGCTGCGCCATGAAGCAAAAAAGAGAAAACAACCATCCGGTAAAAGCTACTGACAATAAAAACTTGCTAAGGATATAGATTCAATCAGGACAAGAATATGCGTTTATGTTACAACTAGCTTTGGATTAAYCATATATTTTGACAAAAATATACAACACTTAAGAAAATAACAGTCAGGGGTAAAGTTGTTATAAGTTGGTTTAGCAACTAACGTGAACTTATTCTACAATATAATGGGAAGTCTCATCATCAAAGATAAGATACTTATTGTTCATTGACAATGATTGAACAAGACTTATTGAGTTTCACAATATCCAGYTACACTTGATAATTGTTCTACTATTATCGTGCACAGTGCGTAGCTACTTTCATCAAAAAGTGAATAAAACTTTATAAACGTAACCTATATCCTGTGAATTTTCCTGTAGCAAGGACGCCGAACATTTCYGGAAATAAATCTCTACGGTTTAAACTTTACCATGTCGTTTTGCTTATTAGATTTTATTCTGTGCATTTCTACAAGAGTCTTAAACTATATCGAAGTAACTGTATATAATAAAATAGTTTGGGGAGGTAGAAATTTTTAAGGCAGTGTTTATATAACTAAAAGAAATCATCTTATTTGCAGTTACATTGAGTGCGTATTATTTGCTACCTTTTGGCTTGGGGTTAAGTGCGTATTTGCTACCTCACTAGTGCGTATTTGCTACCTTGCTGCGTATTTGCTACCATTTTAGACTTTTTATCATAAAACTCGTAATATTTGATAAATTGATTCCATTTTCTGTSAGATACTGTATTTTATCTTGAGTTAACTACTCCCCTGAAGAAACGTGATTCGGAATAAGGAAAACAGAGATATTCCCAAAAAAATATTTTGCGCGAAGTTTGAAAAATTCAATTTTTCAAACCCTGTTCAACTGTAACCCTAGATCTTGAAATTTTTCTCAAAATTGTTTTTTGGAAAATTCAAAATAAATCAGACCTTAGAAGGGTTTTGCCGCAAAGAAGGTTACCTTGAAGACCTTTGAATGCTGTGAAAGTTTTTGATTTTTGAGGGGAAAAAAAAAAAAAAACGGTCTATGTGCTCTCAAATGCGTAATTTTGAACGCAAAAAATCTCACAAATCAAAATATTCCTGTGAACCGATTGCTTAAAGCYGTTAATAATGATAAAAACTTTATTCTTAAATCATTCAGCTTGAGTTTCAAACATGTTTTTAAATAGAAATTCGCTTGAGCGAAAGTACGTAGCAAATACTCAGTCGAGACTCTAAAGAGAGAACCAGAGAGAGAGAGAGAGAGAG